GGTGTTTTGCTGGATGAAGTACCAAGAAGAAGTCGGATATTCGAATGTTACTGTACTAGCCGAAGGAAGCTCTTCAAAATTAGGAGTACTAGAGGGTGGGTGTGGGTTCTTCTCTCTGCTTCCAAAAGTCAAACGATAGAGCTTGTGACGGGGGCGTGGCTTGGCAGTCAGGGCAGTTTTCTCACCAATAGTGGCGAGCTCTGAATGCATCATTGCTCAAAGACACGTGTACGCTCAGCTGTCCTTGCATGTCCGGCGATAACGAGCCCCCAGCTGTCGAAGTTTAGCGGTTTTCCGGTTTCCCCGTCCGAACATGCGCGGGGATGGGGATCCAAGACCGTGGGATAGGCTAATTCCTCCGTGCTCCGCCGATTTGCGGCGCAGACTCCCGATCCCGTTTATACTGACCTCCGTCCGCGCGGCGCGTGTCGCGCGCAGCGCTTCTGGCACTTTGCCAAGTCTTGTAATTGCGCTTTCGAATACAATTAAACGCAAACTCCTGATGCGGATAACATTTGAGGTGTTGCTCATGCTGCAAAGTCCGAATCGAAGATGATGACGAGGGCCAGAACTCAAGAGCAACTGTGCTGCTTCTGCAATCTCCCTCAAAAGCTGCGCATTCCCACCAAACATGAAAATAAAACGGCCTAAGCGTCCTACTCGTTAATTCAAAGTCTCTTTATGGCTTTGGAGCCGGAATCGCGCCAAATTGTAAGAATTTGCACGGGTTTAATTGATTCACGTTTACTTTTACATTATATTTACATCTACATTAAATTAGATGCCCTTCAACTCTGACCTTCGAAATCCTCAGTATCTTCGTTACTGCGTGACATTGCAGCAACAACACCTTGAATGTTAATGAAAGGAACGGCTCTTGAAATAGACTGGAAAGGAACGGCTCTTGAAATAGACTAAGGTCCCCTGCAGAGCGTTTGCTGGGCAAGAGGATGTTGCCAAGTATTTGCCGGATTGCTAAGATGGTCAACAGCTCTCTAAAGGTCTTTCGTCAGACTGTCCCAAAGAGCCTCTTATAAATTTTTACATCATCCGCATACAATTTGTTCGAGACACAAAGTCCCTGGAACAAGTTAGGAATCTCTGAAGTGAAGATGTTAAACAGCACCGGTGACAAAACTCTACCTTGGGGGGGGGGGGCACCACTGCATACTTCTTTACTGACGAAGTAACACTGCCCAACTCGTATTCCAATGAATAAGAATAGGATGAAATTCCAATTCTTCCAACTTGTGAGTTAGCTTTGCGTGTGGCACCATGTCAACAGCCTTGGTGAAGTCTAGATAGATGAATCGCAACAGCAGTTATTATCGAGGGTGTCTATCTACTCATCAAGGCATTCAATCATGTTCGTCTCAAGAGAACGTCCAAGGGTGAAACCATGCTGGTTACTATTAAGTTGCATTCAAGTGTATATTTAATTACATCCTGAAGGCGTTTCTTCGTGAAAACTTTCGTGATGATGATGACACAGTTCGTATACTACCTTATTCTTCTTTCGAGCTCGCTCACTCAATTGATGATTTTACCAGGTTAGGTTCCTAGCAGAAGAACTCTGTACCGGTCCGGTGTTGGTACCTAAATCTTCTATGACTCCTGATCCTACCCCGCTCTTCTTCATCAAAGTGTGAGCTTGTTTACTGTGGATCTCTGCGGTAACACTCGACGTCTCATCAACCGATCGCTCATGAGAGAGGTAGTCCCTATGTAGGTGATGGAAGCACTCTTTCATGACCCCCCTACTCCTGACCATTCTAAAGTAGAAACGCTCATCAGATCATGGTGATATCGACTTGTAAGCAGTTGCCTCTTTGCTCTGTAGATTGTTTGTAATCAGGTAAGCATGACTCATTCATGGCCATTAAGACGACACATGACCGTAAAAGGCTCGTATCGAAGTGCTTTTATGCTGCTATCATGCCGTCTTAACCTCCATAAACGAGTCATGCTCTCCTTATGTATCGGAAGCACCTCGAAAAATCAAAAGCGCGTAAAAAAAGCGTAAAAGCATCTTGATGCGAGCGTTCCTGCCAAGGGTGAGCCCAGGAGAAGGAGTAGCTCCCTCCGGGTGAGGCTCACTACTGGAGGTCGATCAGGGCATGGTGAACTTTCTCGAAACTGTATGTTGCACAACGGCTACATAATATGGCTCATTCTAAGCAACTTCTTTTTACCCCTTTTTTAGCATTCTCAGTAACGCTCAACCTCGTTCATGTGATCCATGCATGGACCCCTACGCAACAAACAAATTATGCAAAAAATCGTTTGCAAAAAGCTCACCAGCCCTGAAGAGCTCTTCTTGTGAGCCTCACCTAGAGGGAGTCTCCCAAGCTCAGCCTTAGCAGAGCGCTAAATTGCTCCGGTGTCGAAAAACAATACCATATCCGTGATCAGGGCATCAAACAATGCTAGTATGCAAGTTTTCGTCGACATTGTTGGGAAATGGTGTGGCACAAAATGGCGCCAAATGGCGCTAGGGTTAAACATGAATGTCACATTCCTGCTCAGAGCACCGAACAACCCCAGTGTGCAAGCTTATACTCTTTTCATCATTACGGACTGTCGGGGCGTATCAGCCAGTAGGAGTGCGCACACTGTTTGAAGCCGTTCTCAGCCTTTTCGTTGAAACGCGTATGCGACAAAAAGTGGTAGAAAACGAGTAATACGAAGGATATAATGCTGTATGTCTTCAACAACTGGTGCAGAAAGACTTTGGCACCGCGGAAAACGCAGCCGCACTGACCCGCCCCGACAGTCCGTAATGATGAGGAGAGTACATACTTCGGTGATAAAAGTTGTGGCGCCAAATTGGCGCCAGCGTCAAAAACGGATGTCATACTCTTGATCAGCACATGGAATAACCCGTATAGGCGATATTTCAGCAAAAGCTTTTTTTCGATTTTTTTGGGGGAGTGAATTGGGCAGTTTTCGGGGAGTGGCGCAGGAAATTTGCTCTCTCCGTCGCATAAAAAAATCAGAGATCACACAGTCGATGGTTTCGAAATGCATTTACGCTGTTATCAAGCATCCTCTTTATCGCCGTAAGTGAGTCATGATTATAAACACGCCTGGATATAAATACTCGAAAAAAATCGCAGTAAATTCTAAACCGGCTTACCTACGGCAGTTGATAACCCTACTGCATTCAGGAGTTACTTGCAAAACTAACTCGGTGAGTGGTATTTTTTGGTTCAGATCCGAAATTCTCTTCCTATTTTTAACTCTATTGCCGTTATTCCGAAAACAATCCAACCATGACGCTAAAAAGCGCAGAGCACATCGTTGCTGGGGACCCAACAGAGGGATCGTATCTGGTCAGTAGGAGAGAGCATCGTATTCGAGTTGAGAAAAATTCTTCTTGGATAGTTGATTTTTCTTGTTCCGGGACGTTGTAAGAGGGGGGTGGGCTCGTAACCTTTTCTGATAGAGAGAGGTTGCTGACTTTTCATGGTATATCCTGTTTAATGTGTACTACATACTCTCCTCCCCCCACATCGACATCGACAGCTCGATAAGGAGGGAACCAGGGGGGGGGGGTCGTACCTACCTCCTAGAAAGGCGGTCGGACGAACTCGACCAAAATCACCAATGATGTGCCCTGGTTGAGCGTAGTTTTACGCTCGGAATCCCTGAGATGCGGTGGGTATGGCCGCGAAATTTAACCAAAGGTGACGACAGCTGTGCTTCTGGTGACATATTTTCACTTTGAGACAATTCTGGTCGTGTCTCTGTCCAATCAACATTGAACAAGATGACAGTTGTCCCAAACTGAAATATCCCACGAGTAACCCATTCTATGGCATGTTCAAATGCCGCGCCTACTGCCTTTTCAGCCATGAGGGAATACATTATGAGCGTTTACCCAGTACAGCATTTCCCACGACTCTATTTTCCTCTGCTGCTTTTGATTCCAATGAGAGTCAGGTTGGACTGACCGGCATTGTCAGGGAATGCCGAGCTCGATATCGCTGATTTTGAAGTTTTCTCTGTGCGCGAATGACGAATGGACTACCTCGGCGCCCAAATTCCCTTTCTCATGAGGCCATAACTTTTTCACACACATCTCTTGGAGGAGGTTTAGGAAATATTGGGAACTGCTTAGCTGGCGCTTTACAATATGCGAAATTTCCTTCCTTTTTCCTCTTTTTCCTATTTCCTATACAGCTTAATCACGTAGCGATTTGCAATTAGAAAGAGTATAGATTCCGGATGTAGAATCAAGTATTTCTGTTTCATTCCCCATATCTCCTTCCAGAACCCGCGGAGTTATCACAGGATATGTTTTTCACATGTAGTTAATGTCACTTGATGGGTAGAGGGATTGGTACTCAGCGGTGGGTTGCGCCACGCACAAGACCTCGCTCACAATCCTATTAACAATTAAAGTCATTTTAGTTAACGAAACAGTTTCCTGTCTCTCGTAACACACTCCCTGCAGTGAGGAGCGCGAAGCTCTTTTGCGATGATACATATCGTAAGAGACATTGCTACTTGTAACGCTTATTCAGCACACACATTGTCACAGTTCTGTTGACTTCTGATTCCTCCAAATACGACCCCTACCCCTCCAGCAGATACCACTCTCTCCGTTGAGCATTTCCGAACTGATGCTTTACCCTGCTCTGAATGCTTTCGCTATGGGTCGAAAAAGCCATATCATGAAGGACTCAGCACCAACTGAGCAGGAGAAGGCGAGAGCTCGGGCGGATCGAGTGAGCAACGAAGAAGGCGAGAAGGCCATGGACACCCTGCCGGGCTCAGCTCGAGCTATATTAGCGGCCATCGGCGGAAGTCACATCAGCTCAAGTTTTCACAGTCAGTAGGCCCTGTAGGGAAGGGGCTATATTGAAGAGTTTCGCAATTCTCGAGCCATACAAGTGCCCGCCGGTATGACATTCCATCGTACCGTTCGAGAAATTATCTTGAATGGTACCACTAACTACTGATCACCTGTCATAGCATAGTACATTTCAGTCTAAAGAATGAACAGAACGTCAGTGAAGCATCGCGCATTCACCATTGAACCGATGCGTGATAAAGGAATCACTTCCGTACCTGGAATTGGGTCGGCATATAGTGCTAAACTTTCTGAAGCTGGATTCAGTAAGGTAAATTACCTGTTTATTAGTGCAGTTCTTGTTCTCAGTCCTCGGTCTACTCACCGACCGCTTCAGGCTACTAATCTCTACGGACAATACTTGGTACTGATAGAAACGAGGGTGCATTTACGGGATGGTTGAAGGTAGGTTCATTTCAAGTAACTTTATGACTTTTGAAAAATGAAACATCTGATTTGGCAAACCATTTGTGATGTTTATATCATTGTTATTTTGTATATAATTTACTCCTTGGATTGAAAGAAATGAATTGAGCCCATACATGATTAACACTGCGTCGAGGAATGAGGTTCTAGCGCCCATATGCTTTCAAATGAACCAGATTTTGCTGTTCCCCTATTTTTATTACATTACAGGATATTCTCCTCACTAATCCTTTTTCTTCACAGGATTATAAGTTCAGAAAAAGAGGCGGTATAGAGTATCCTCGAAAATTGCGCGTGAAACCAAATGCTCGTTTCCGTGAATGCACCCAGTCGAGCATACTACAAGGCGGCTAACTTACCTAAGGTTATCAGCCGTGTTATACAACTCTGCTCATCTGAAAAAAACCAGGTGCTCATGCACATCTTGCCCTGCACGAGGTGGGAATCTTCTATATTTTCCCGTTTTTCTAGTTTCTGAAAACTTGGTTTCTTGTGCACGCCGGTGTTACAATTATACCTCGGGAATGTGGGATACTCAGTTCGGAAGAACGTGCGCAAGGGGTATCGTTCTAGAAAGAGGGCACGCCGTTGTTGTGGAAATCACTACGAGGAGGTCGTATTTGACCGCGAAGGAGAAGTGGCGGAGGGGGGGTGACGCATGCGCTGGCCTCATTCAGAACTGGAAAGGACAGCAATACAGAGATGACGTATAATCACTGGTCAAAAGAATATTAATTGTTGTTCTTACTATAAACCTAAAGAGAGACCTGATGATTAAGGAAGTTGCAAGCTCAGAAGCGAGGAACTAACGACAACAATTCGGTAGGCTTCCACGACGAGGTCATGAATTAATAAAGAAACGAAACGCATTATTTGTTTGAACGGCACTGAACGGCAGAAGAGCACATCTGTGTGCACGGAAAAGCTTTGTCTATGATACACCTTTCAATACTCTTGCATGGGAGCCGGATGCATGGCGCAGTACAGAGTGAATGTTAATCCCTGTGTGTTGCCAATGCCAACTCCTTCGAGCGAGCTTTTTCCCAACAATTTCGATTTCAAAGAGGTGTTCTACAAGCTTACGCAAGTCTTCGAACAAACTGGAAAGGATACTGCGCGTTTTTTGCGCCGTCCAAAACTTTTTATAACAAAATCACAATGGGTAGGTTTTTTTTGAATGGTGGGAATGAGAAAAAGGTGAGCAGCTTTCTCGGAAGCGGAAGTCTTCCAGATTCCGATGCTTGATTATTTTCTAAGAGTTCACACACGTGGAAAAAGTTATGGTTGTTCAGAACATGACAACTCGTGACACCAAAATGTTACAGCGAGGTGACGACGGGGAAAGTTTCTCAGAGAAGGGGGATTTGAATGCGTTGGACACGATTCAAATGAACTACAAACCCAGAAGCTCTCATAATGCTGCTACTGCTCTTCAGATGCTCCATTCTCAGAAAAGTTATTGATCTTCAAAGGAAGTGTCCTGCGGAGCCCGCCTATTTTGCAACACACCTCGCAAAATAGTCGCCAGCTGATGTGGTCCAACAGGGGAAAAGGCGTTGTGAAGGCTCGCGCACAATCTGAATGCACGCGAGTATTTGGAATACAACTGTCGCTTCCGGAGGGAAGGGGATCGTATCTAACAGAAGTTTATCCATACGCGATGGTGCACCCATTTGGAGAATCCGCGGTCGCAGAATGCGGGAATTGGGGAAGGGGCGATGCGCTACTGTACGGGGGTATTTGACCGTCTCAGGGCACATGTCAACTGGAAAGCTTCTCCCTCCTTCCTTTTTCTCCCCTTCCTTCTTCTTTTTCTTCCTTCCTTCTCTGATCCCTCCTCCTTTACCTTGTCCTTCAACTGCTGGACTGGTAGATACCCCGTGAAATTAGCCCTGGACCCTCGCAGCGAGAAATCGTCTAGTTGACATCTGCCCTGTAACCGTATTTGACGTCTGGTTCCGAGCCATACGAGATGCGGTGAGAGGGGCATTGCAAATGGTATTACGTTATTCTCATCAGGACCTACTTGATTCAGCGTGGTAATGCAGCAGTAGGTCAGGTCGACCACTGAGGCAATACTATGTCCATTTGCTCTCGGTGACGCATGTTGCGTGCCCTAAACCACAGCGATTGATCGATACTTGTAGTTTTCTTGCTGCACATTTCTCAGAATCACGCATTTTCCTGAGATGTAAGTTCTAGGTGTTCGTAAGGCCTGAAGGCCTCTTTCTGAAGCGCGCTTACTGCTCTATCGGCTCCATGTTTCTTTTCTCAAAGAGACTGAAGATGCGGTTGCGCTTGAACTGAAACGACTGAAGTTCTCATTAAGATGCGTTCATACTTCGTGGCAGCGTCCATCAGCGTTCCGAGCGTCCGGCAGCGTTAGCGACTAGGAAAGTATAGATGTCAGTCTAGCGTCTAACGGCGTCTACCAACGTCCACCAGCGACCGGCAGCAGGTGGTCCTGGGTATGGGGCATAAGGAGGACACCAGTTGTCTGCTACCGTCCTATCGCACCATACTCTCACTACTACTACTCTAGCAACAATCTGTTACATTATTATCTCCCATAGTCTACCAGCTGTCTGCTACCCTTAGGCCCCGTACTCTCCACTCCTGGACGTAGCTTGTCGCTGCTAGGCCCTGGCAGACCTCGGTCGATACATATACTTCCCTAGCCCTCGAGACGCTGCTGGTCGCTGATGGACGATGGCAGACGCTAGACCGATATTCATACTTTCTCATTCGCCGACGCTGCCGAACGCCCGCGAACGCTGGTGGACGCTGCTGCAAAGTATGAATGCAGCCTTACAAATCACGTTTCATGGATGAGTCATCTTCAACGTGGACTAGACACTCGTAAGTGAAAGGAATGGCTCTGGCTTCTTGGCTATGTGAGCAAATAGTTTGCGCTATCAACTATAGAAGAAGACAAATCTAACTGGATTTCAACTGCTGTAGTTTGTGAACTTATGAGTTTCATTTTAGAATAATGCTGGAACTGTCCTCACACCAATGCGAGTAGTCGCGTTTCAAAGCTTTTCATCGTGGGAATACCAGTATTCGCCATTGACGGAAGTTGGTGCAACGCACATAGTATTCCCTCTGATTTGCTCTGCTAGATGAATTGATTGCATACTTGTTTTGTACCAGTTTTCCATTCTGGTAGGATACGTGGATGAATGGCTAGTTTCTAAAATTTGTCTGTGTTTTGAATATTTATCATTATACCATTCTTATGCTGCTTACCAGTTCTTACGTACACATACAGTCATTGAATTAAAAGTTCAGGTTGTCAGGGTGCATGCAGTACCTCCGAAAGTAGCGCGTGAAATTAAGTTGGACGTAGATGCGCACACTACGTGCTGCGGTGCGTGCCCCACCCGGACTGCTCGCGTTGTTCCTACCGAGGTTGGACAGGTCGTTGCCCGAGTGGCAACCCACTCCGGAGCCCCTTTTCCCCTACGAGCAGGGCACATCATTGGTTGGGGATTTTAGTCGAGTCTGTACCACCCTCCCCCCCCCTTCCGGCCCTCTCCCTCCTCGCATCAAATCGAGCCGTCGAGCGGGATGGGGGAGGGGCGGGGTAAATAGCACATGTGAAACAGGAAAAGCCGCGAGATAATACGACCCCCCCTCCCTCTAACAGTTTTCAGATTTTCCCCAAACTTCCTGCCGTTTTTTCCAAAATTTCAAAAGTTCCCGAAAACTTCCCTACTTTTCACCAAAAATTTTGCTGTCGGCGGGGGGGGGGGGGGGTACTAAGAACGCATGGAACACGGGAATCTACAAAAACGAAAAATGAAAGAGAGAAATGGAAAATCCACCGCTCCTACAACGCCAAAAAACGTCTCTTAACAACGCCCGTGAAGCGAGAAAAATAAACTATCAAAATAAATTTTTCCCAGCAAACACGACCTCACGCGCAATTTTGGTGGTACTGTACGCAGCCCGACAACCTGAACTTGTAATCTTGCATAGAGTCATAATCCTCACAGAGGCGTGCGATGGGGTGTGGACTGGAGCACTGACATGGCGTCCTCTCCATCAGTAATGCCACCCACGAGTGCAACAGTTGGTGAAAAGGCCGTTCCCTGAACAGAATAACTCACGCTCCGCTCACGACGCCCAATCGTGTTGCGGGTCCACATATGTTAAATAAACTGAATTAAAAAAATTGACTATGTGACGCGAAGGCCGAATGTACTGCTTTTCAGCAATAGCAAGAAAAGCTCACAAACTTTTCGAACACACTACGGTTTTACCACGTGGTGGATTCATCGACGTACGAGGTGTGCAGGTTTACAGCCGTCATATTTCGGCCCTCAAATGAGCGCGGAAGTGAAACTGAAGGATTCTCGCGGCCGGATTGCCTTCACGTTACTGTTTGGCATGTGTTGCGACACGTTGCGTTGCCAACACGTCTGCTACTAGACCGGCATTACCAAGTCCCAGCAGTGAAAAAGTTGATCGCGGGCGCTGTCTTTAAAGGCAGTTGGCACGATAAATCCCCCAAGAAGTGGATCATACGCCTGGCAGTGCGGATTTCCGCGACCCTGAGCAGGCGCTGCATGGTGCCTTTTCCAAAGGAGGTGCCCTTATGAGGGATTTATCAAGCCACAACATACCGAACCAGACGCCCGCCACGCCCACCCACAAATGGAGGTTCTGACTCTCGAATTCACTCATTTGCTAAGCAAATTATGAAGCGAAGGGATTGGTATGAAGCGGCCGTGATGCTGCATGGATATATGAGTACACATATGCAGCCATACCTTCGGTAGCGGTTGTTGGCAAGCCTATGGGAAACTTGTCCAAAATTATTTTTTTTACACATTGGGAACGGAGGCTCTTTCTTCACAGCTGTTTGACCGTTCCACTCCGTTCTTTCGCCATTTCCCCCCTATATAGCCCCCTACTAGCATTTTGAGCCGAGCACCAAATCATCGTGCCAACTGCCTTTAAGAAAAACAGTACAAGAACATCACACTTGAGATAAGCTTCAAGCAGTTGGGTCTTGGCATTTCCAGGAGAAGCAAGGTGTTTCGACCACCTCAGAGGCCAAGTGTTCAGTAGAGAGAGTCAATGAGCACCTATGCGCACCTTTCAACACTATAACAGTAAATCTCTTGCGTCCATTGAAAAAAGCCGTTCCATATCCAGCAGAGGGGGAAGGCGCGGCTGTGTACTACGCTAGGTCGTAGCAGCAGCTGTCTCAAATAGAAGTAACTTCATGGAGCGCATGCTCAGCGTTCAAATGCAGTACGTAGCCAGCCCATTCCCATCTCTGGGATATGAAGAGTAAATAGGGATGGAGATTGTTTAGTTGGGAGAGGGTATCCTGTCTTTGGAAAATTTTGAAAATCGAGCGAATTAATAGAGGTGGGAGACTTCAGATGGTAGGTAGGATGAGGGTAGGTAGGATGAGGAAAAGGGGGGTTGTAGCGGATGAGGCAATTCGAGGGAGGTGTTCGAAACCGTCAGTCCACCCACCGCAGTGTCCTGTGGAAATGGGGGAGTCGTGTTTTGACATCTTCTGCATCTATATACCCCCCCCCTCTCCTGTCAAATACAGCATCTCCGATACGTGGCGATAGAAGAGCAGCAGATGGTGTCGCGCGAGCAACATTCGCACCGAGATCCATTTGATTCGACGTGTCAGTGCTGCAGTTCTGCTGGTTAACCCGCTGTGAAGCACTCTGCTGATTTGCGATGCGGCTTCTCAGATTTTCTGAACAGCACCCTCCAGCCCAGTGTGTAGCGTTACTTGACATTGGCTGCCTTAGCAGAGCAAATCCTAGCTAGTTGGCGGGAGAGACACAGCACAGAGAGAGTTGTTTGACATGAGAGACGCAGACGCAGAAAGAGTAAAAGAGAGAGTCGACGCGTCGCAGCACTGCTACGTGTGAGTGATGTGTACGTCAAGGTATATCTTGTCATTACGGTCAAATTTAGCAAAATATAACACCCTTGCTTGCTTCCTTTGATTTTTGCAACTTTCTAAATCTATTAGCTTTACAGAATTTTTCCTGCTCTTACCAAAGCAACAAATTGACGAGTGGAGAGGGGAGGGAGAGGGGCAAGTACGTGGACAGGTGTACATGAAACAGGTAAATCGAGAAAAGTAAACATCGAAAACACCTTTCCCAAAGGCAACCGCGACCCCCATCCCTCCCGCTAAATACGGCTTTCTCGCCGGGATCCTCAATGAATGGCGTACTGCGAACGGACTGAAGATCGCCCCGGATCAGACGTTGAACAAGCATCCAACTACCAGAAACCAAAAACTTGCCAAAGAGTAGGTTAAGCATATGTGAGGCCATCGCGAAATATGGCTTGGATTGTTCACGAGGATGCTATCCCTCTATTTCGGCAGGAGGACGCAGAGTTGCAGAGCACTAGCAACAAGCGGCATAACCTCGATCAATAAAGCACGCTTGCCTTCTAGTTGAACACAATATTCGCTTTTCCATGTACCATATCATTGCAATGCATGTAAGAAAAAGTTTTACTCACTGCCTGGTTAGACATAGACGTATGCATGATTTGCTGAACCTACGAGAATCATCCGAGCCTAAAATTACGCCCAAGGGATAAGTTTGTGCGAAGCAAAACTTCTGGCACTGTTTTACGCTTTACTACCCACTTTTCAAAAATCGGGCCATATTCTTGTCGAAATTGTCCTCATGGGAGAGATATGTCCTCCAGTTTGTCTCTGGTGGTTTACTCTACCCTCCTGAACTCAAATATCACATCCGCTTAGTGCCGGGGATCGCACTACCCCTTGGGACAAGTTTTCAGCATTTGTGGATTTCGAGCTACTTCAGTACAGGCGCCAGGCGCTTCCAAGCCTGGTGGATGTCTTGTTCTTGCACAAAAGGTTGAGTGACTCCTGGGGACAAAATTCCTCGAGAGCCCCTCCCACCTCCGTGGGGACAATTCTCGATCGAAATTTGAATTTCTACGAGTGGGGCCTCGAGTAGAGAATGGTGCCAGACCTGTTATGGGTAATTAGAGGCAGGATATCCTTATTTGTCAGCCAGCTCATTATTATTACTTAACAAGTTTTAACAGTTACTCAACAAGTACTAATAACGAGCTGGCCACTATAGCTCAGGAAATGTACGCTAAGAGCGGGTACGGATATGATATGGTTCGCCGCGGATGAGGGGCCGTGTCCGCGCATCTGCGTTTGGCGCAGTGCCAACTGTTTCTTTTTCTCTCGGCAAACGATAAGGCTGGGTCATATCGTTCGTGTCAGTCGTTCTTCACCAGTTTTGTCACTGATCCGCTCAATCAACTGGTGGAAAATGAAACCGGCGGCGTGCTAAAAGGCCGACGCGCGAACACGCCCCACCATCTGCGACGAACAAGACTGTGGGTGCACTATTAACTAGACCAGTACTGCCAGTGCTTTTACCTTCGTTACATGTTATTGTACTGCTTAAGTCGTTCAGCCATGAGTTTCTTTGCTTCAATATTTTCATTGTTGGACTTACCGCGGTCAATTTTGTCAATCAGACCAGTAACCAAGCTTCCACGTTTAGTGTCCGTCCGTTCTAACCTGCATGTTTCCTTACCTTCGACTGAAATTTTTAAAATTGTTGCTTCCACTTTTACTGTTAACTGTACTTTTTTTATTCTTACTTTCAGCCTGTAATATGGGTGATTTTCACGTGCATCCCGGTGTACTAATTCTTCACAAGCATTGTGTAATATGTCAACTGCGTTATGAAAATCGTGGTGAGTACATACTGTATTTCAACTTGTACATTTTAGTTCATCCAACTTGTTTTTCCAAAGTTTTTATTTCGCAGGCGTCAATCCTGTGGACGTGTTGCTCCGTGGCCTTGGTCGCATTATTCGCGGTGAAGCCGATCCGGATTTCATCGT